CTTGATGTTGGGAAAGGAGAAGGGGACGACAGAGGATGAGATGGTTGGATAGTGTTCTCGAAGCTACCAGCATGAGCTTGACCAAACTGCGGGAGGCAGTGGAAGACAGGAGTGCCTGGTGTGCTCTGGTCCATGGAGTCACAAAGAGTTGGACACGACTAAACAGCAACAACTCACAGAGCCAGGGGAAGGAGTTCAGAAGCTTTCACTTGGGCCTTTGTTCAGCCACAGTTTGTCATGTCACACTGACTTACAAACGGTGGTGAGCATTAGCTAGGGTTGGTTTCAAACAGCCAACTTCAAACTATGGTCAATGAAGCTGCTTGTTTAAATTAGTCTTAGTTAAAATTAAGCACAGTTTTGGATCAGAGCATCATGGCAAAATGTGGCTGACCAGAAGCAGAAGCTTCTAGACTACTGCTCACCGTCCCAAATTTCAGCAACCCCAGATTTTAACACATGGGTATAAAATCTCTCCATCCCTAATATTCAACATTGTTTCACTTAACCTTATGATTTGAAGAAAGATGGGGGAAAGGACTCAGGTAGGTAGGTAGGTAGGTGGGTATAGATAGATAGGATATATTTCATTAAACAAGTTTCATTATCAGGATTAGGCTATAAGAACTGACAACTCCCTTTTATTTATAATTCAGTTTTTTGTAATCATAATGAAAAGAAATAAAATATCTCCATCTGCTTTCTCCGTATTTTCTAGAATTTTATAAACAACGGGTTGGAAATTTGTGGCTATCCAGATCGTTTTGGACTCAAGCCAGTGTGACCAGAGGTCAGGGATGATGATGATGATGATGATTTAGTGAATTTATATACCGCCCTATACCCAGAGCTCACAGAACAAAATCCAAATATAAAACCATGAATTTTTTAATTATTATTTATTGAATTTATGGGAGCACCAGCTCAGTAACACATGGAGGGCTCATGTTTTTAAGCAAACCTTGGTTGTTGCTTTTTAAAAAAATGCCTTTTGAATGTTTCTGCTCAAATTCCTTCTTTGAGGAGCCGATTGCTGTAGGCATAGAAACCGCATATAGGGCCAGGCCTGTTTGGCTGCAATAATGTCATGCACTCTTAGTATATATTTGAAGCATAGGACATTATTCAGGCCCTGTTCTTTAATGCCTCCTCCTCCTCCTCCATTCCTCTTGCCGCGATCCCTTTCCTCCCCCAGAGGCCAAAAGTCTTTTCATTCTCCATTGTGCAGCTGTCACATATTATTGTCACAGTGTGCGCCCCTCCCTCTCGATTCATCTCCGAGGGAATAAGAGCTTTTGAGTCTTGCCAAGAAGGTGCGAGATGAGAGTGCCGTCACAATGGAGGAAAGGGCAGCGAGGTGCCAATATTTTACCGTCTTTGCAAATAAATCTGAATAATCAGCCCTTTTGACAACCCATTGTTGTGCCTGATTCCCCCCTTATTCATTTAAAATTCAAATGGTGATACATTATAATTTTCAGCGTAATAGTTACTTTGGGGTGTTGTCTGTCAACTCCGTAATCACTGAAAACATAGCCTGCGCTCGCTTCTGAATTTATCGGCGTTAAACAGTTCTGCCTTTGGGCTTTTAAGGATATTCAGCCCAAGATATGTTTACCTCGTAAGTCGGTAGGAACCTTATTTAATGATTAAAACGTGTCAAAGGGGACACCGTTTAATTTATTAATGGAATGGGGTGGGGGACAGACAGCCTGTATGTGTGGTTTGTTTAAGGGCACAAGCCAAAAACATTTATAAATACACTTTTGTGGTTTGAAGAAAATCTTGAAAGTAGCCACGACATATATAGTGTGTGTTTTTTTGGGGGGGGAGTGTGGAGCACTGATGGAAGGGGTAAAAACCTACTCTTTTGGAGTAAAGGGTAGCGCTATTTTCTGTTTCTCAGCGCCTGTAATGCTCAATAATTGCCTGAAAGGGCTGCTTTAATTGAGTCCTTTTGTGCAGTAAGTGTTCTGCTAACCAGGGGAGCTGAAGTGCTTCTGATCCATTCGCAGGTAATAATAGAGGCGGGCTGTTGCAGCGCAGGCCCCTGCTTTACAAGTCAGCAGCTACTCCTGCAGCATGATGGAGGGGTGGGGGTTAGTGGTGGTTTGGGGAGGAGAGGTGGGGGGTGGCTTTGGGGAGCAGCATTAAATCAGCCACAAGCCTGCGCCTAATTGTTATTGATTGTTAAGTGCACAAATTGCGGGGAAAGCAGCCCATGCGAGTTCCTCACCTGAAGAAAGTCTCGTTTCCTTCCTTTGATATTTTCCGTAACTACGGCTCCTGGTTTGTAAGGATAAAGAGAGGCGGCTATTCGGGGCCTGTATGGCAAATAGCAATGTTTATGCAGCTGCTGCTGCTGCTGCTAAATGGGTGGGGAAGGGGGTGAACTGATCTTTTCCTCCTTTTCCCTGTAAATGCCACTGTCTGCATCCTTGTTGATGCTTTGACCTCCCTTGCTTCAGAGCTTGAAAAGCCTTTTCCACCGTGAGCAATAGGCAGTGTCTGCAGAGCTCAACAGTCAGAAAATCTCATTCTCGTGCCTTGAGTGCTGATGCCAACTTGATCAGTTTAACTACAACTGATGCGCGGCTATTTCTAGTTAAACCTGGTTCACATTGCTATCCTTTGCTGTAAAGAAAGTTCTGCTATCATGAATTGTACTTGCCACCCTGTAAGGCTGCCTTTTGTGGTTGGGGTGCCATTTTAAACAGTCCTATTAAGTCGCTTTTCTTTCACTTTTCTTTGATCTGCGCGCTTTCATTTTCTCATTTAGTTCCCTCTCCTGTTAATCCATTTTGGAGCACAAAGCCAGTTCAGTAGTCTGGCATTGCATAGATCCATTGAGAAACTTAATTTGGGTGTGCATTCAGACGAGAGGTTTGCAATTCTGCGCGGGGGCATAGAAGCAACCAGCGAGGTGCCTCACCGTGAATTTGAAACAAGCAACCCTCAAGTGCTCAAAACCTTGTGCATTTTTTGCACACTTGGGGTTGAGCACCATTCAGTTAAGACATTTGTATAGCTGTAATGCCTGCTCCCCAAAAAGGAGGGAAAGAGAGACATTGGAAATGGGGTTATTTAAAATTGCTGTCATAGCATTTACTTGGGATTTTAGAGACTGGGGTTAGAGGTTTTTGGCTCCTCTGTTCATGCGCAGGAATGAGCTGAGTAGCACTCTGTTCACCTTCATCCTATGAATACCACCTTCCCTGCACTCAACTCCAGCAACTTTGTCTGGGGTCCAGGAATGGGGTGGTGCATCTTCTTCTTTTCTTTTTTTTTTGTATATAGTGTGGTGTAGAGCCAGTGTGGTGTAGTGGTTAAGAGCGGTGGACTTGTAATCTGGTGAACGGGGTTCGATTCCCCGCTCCTCCACATTTAGCTGCTGGGTGACCTTGGGCTAGTCACACTTCTCTGAAGTCTCTCAGCCCCACTCACCTCACAGAGTGTTTGTTGTGGGGGAGGAAGGGAAAAAGGAGATTGTTAGCCGCTTTGAGACTCCTTCGGGTAGTGATAAAGCGGGATGTCAAATCCAAACTCTTCTTCTTCTTAATATAATTTTTATTAGTTTTTTTAACATCTCATTTTCAACAGTAATTAAACATACTTTTTCATCTTATTCAAATTTTTGACTTCCATCAATCCTGTCTGAAAATTTTCCAATCTAATCTCCCAGTATGCATTTCTTATCTTCCCTATTACATTGCAAACTCATAACCAATACCTCTATCTTTTTCTACTTTGTAACACTTCGTATATTTCTCCTTACAAAGCTTCTTGTAGTCCTAGTAGCGTAATTTGTTGATTACAGTTGCTCTTCAAATAATTCATATACTTCTTCCAATCTTCTGTAAATCTCTGGTCCCGCAGGTTTCAAATCCTTCCTGTCATTCTGTCCAGTTCTGCATAGTCCATGCATTTCGTCTGCCATTCTTCTTTCATCGGAATTTCTTCTTGGTTCCATTTCTGGGCTAACAACACTCTTGCCGCAGTTGTTGCATATAAAAACAATTTAACATCTTGCCTATTAATGTCCTGACCTATAATACCAAGTAAAAATGCTTCTTTTTTTTTTTAAATGTGCATATTCTCTGGTCCCAGTGCAAAATCCTTTTACCTTAGGCATTAGACCAGTGTTGTCCATATTATTTCGTCTGTGGTTTCTGAGAACGCTGGTCCCAGTTCCATCACTGGGACTGGGAAGGGCAGGGAGCACCTGCCAACTTATTTCCCTACCCTGCCCCCAGAAAAATTTCTGGACGCTGGTGGGAAGGGGAGGCAGCCGAGGGCGTTTCGTGAGCCCCCGCTGTGCTTTTTGCAAACATTCAGATGAAACGCTCACAAAAAGCCCGAGCCTTAATGAACATTTGGTTTGACCATTCATAAAGGCTTGGCCCCAGGGGTGTACGAAGTGGGGGGTGGAGGGATTGGGCCACCCCGGGTGCCACTGTGGGGGGTGACAAGATGGCCCCTGCCTCCCCCCAGCTGTAGAGCGGGCGAGGGCGCGCAGTCCATATGGGCTGCCTCTCACACAGCGACCGTACAGGCTGCCGCTCTCATGTGCCGTCCATACCGGTGTCCGTACGGGCTGTGTCTCGCACGGTGACTGTATGGGCTGCTGTACATGCGCACTCCGTACGAGGTGTCCCGCCCCCGGCGTCCCGCCCCGGGTGCCGGAGAGGGTTACTCCACCATGCTTGGCCCCTTTCAGGTCGGACAATGGGATCCTGGTGAGTCCCAGTTAGGGTGACCACTTACACATTGTTTAGGAGAAGTGTAACGAGCCGCCAAAAAAGATGTCACAGGTTTGCACAAAGTCGCCTGGGCAGCTTTATATGTATAGGTGAAATTTTTTAAAAAGGAACCGCTGCAATTAAAATAGAAATACCATACAGAACAAGGGAATTGTGTGTTATCCCATAGAGCCATAGTGTTGGAAGGGACCCTGAGAATTGTCTAGTAGTCCAACCCTCTGCAATGCAGGACTATGCAGCTGTCACATACGGGGAATCGAACCTGCAACCTTGGCGTTATCAGCATCACACTCTAACCAACTAAGCTAATACATGCCACCACAGTGGGGAAGACTAACTACAGGTGAAACTCAAAAAATTAGAATATCGTGGAAAAGTTCATTTATTTCAGTAATTCAACTTAAAAGGTGAAACTAATATATGAGATAGACTCATGACATGCAAGGTGAGATATGTCAAGCCTTTATTTGTTATAATTGTGATGATCATGGTGTACAGCTGATGAAAACCCCAGATTAACAATCTCAGAAAATTAGAATATTAAATGAAATCAGCAAAACAAGGATTGCAAATAGAGCAATATTGGACCTCTGAGAAGTAGAAGCATGCATATGTACTCAGTACTTGGTTTGGGCCCCTTTTGCATCAATTACTGCCTCAGTGTGGCCTGCCATGGATGCTATCAGCCTGTGGCACTGCTGTGGTGTTATGGAAGACCAGGATGCTTCAATAGCAGCCTTCAGCTCTTCTGCATTGCTCGGTCTCATGTCTTTCATCTTTCGCTTGGCAATGCCCCATAGATTCTCTATGGGGTTCAGGTCAGGCGAGTTTGCTGGCCAATCAAGCACAGTAATCCCATGGGCATTGAACCAGGTTTTGGTACTTTGGGCAGTGTGGGCAGGTCCCAAAGTCCTGCTGGAAAATGAGGTCAGCATCCCCATAAAGGTTGTCTGTGGAAGGAAGCATGAAGTGCTCCAAAATCTCCTGGTAGATGGCTGTGTTGACCCTGGACTCAATGAAGCACAGTGGACCAACACCAGCTGATGACATGGCTCCCCAAATCTCTTTTTTGATGAGAGCAGCTTTTGCATCTCATTTGGAAACCAAGGCCCCAGAGTCTGGAGGAAGAATGGGGAGGCACACAATGCCAGATGCTTGAAGTCCAGTGTGAAGTTACCACAGTCTGTGTTGATTTGGGGAGCCATGTCATCAGCTGGTGTTGGTCCACTGTGCTTCATTAAGTCCATTAAGAATCTATGGAGCATTGCCAAGAGAAAGATGAGAGACATGAGACCGAGCAATGCAGAAGAGCTGTAGGCTGCTATCGAAGCATTCTGGTCTTCCATAACACCGCAGCAGTGCCACAGGCTGATAACATCCATGCCACGCCGCATTGAGGCAGTAATTGATGCAAAAGGGGCCCAAACCAAGCACTGAGTACACATGCATGCTTCTACTTCTCAGAGGTCCAATATTGCTCTATTTGCAGTCCTTGTTTTGCTGATTTCATTTAATATTATAATTTTCTGAGATTGTTAATTTGGGGTTTTCATCAGCTGTACGCCTTGATCATCACAATGATAACAAATAAAGGCTTGACATATCTCGCTTTGCATGTCATGAGACTATCTCATATATTAGTTTCACCTTTTAAGTTGAATTACTGAAATAAATGAACTTTTCCACGATATTCTAATTTTTTGAGTTTCACCTGTAGGTGTCTCCTCTGGCTGCTGTCCAGGTGCCAGGACCTTAGACTGATCTCGGAAGCAAATAGGCTGCCAATGTAATTCTTTTAGAATTGGGTTACTGTTAATATACTTGGCAGCTGCATACAGGACTAACCGAAGCTTCTGAGAGTTGTCTCTTTGGGCAGCACAATGTACAACACTTTACAGTAGTCTGGTTAGGTGGTTACCAGAGCATGGACCACTGTGGCAAGATGTAAACTTCGTAGAAGCACCGGGGTGGCCAACTCCCAAGAGACTGCAATCTACTCACAGAGTTAAAAAACTGGCGGTGATCTACCCCCTTTTTGGGGGGTTCAGGTCAAAGTTGTTGTGCCTTCACTAGGCTAACCACTGTCAAATGTCGGATACTAGGCCAGATAGACTTTTGATGTGATCCAGCAAAATGGTTTTGTACATTCTTAATCTTTGGCTATGGTGCCATATTGAAGACAGAGAAAGCTGCTGTTTGGAAGTGTCTTAAATGAAGACATTTGGTTTGATATATGCAGAACTGAAACAGTAGAACGTTTAAGAGTGCTTTTACTTAATTGAGATAACAATGAAAAGAATGTTAGGATATTTCTGTTCCACCTTAAAAGGGAGCAGGCTTTTGTGAGTCACAGAGTCTGCGCATTTCCTGTTCACAGGATGTTTATGTTTTCTGTTGCTTTCGTTTTCTCTCTCTGTGTCGTAGACACTAAAGCAAGCAGTCATGTTTTTCTTTGTTCTGATCAATGCTGAATAAAACTTGTAAATAATCCTCTCCTGAGTGCGACTTCTGCTGTGCATTATCTGCTGATAAAGAGTGTGCATCGGCTCTAGAATGTTCTAGGAGCTCATGTCGCTAATTGCTGATACTGCGTGACTACGGGAGGTCAATGGATTGTCCGGCAGCCGGCTTGGGGGCCATGATGGACTTAATCTCCCTGGCAGTATCCCAACAAAGAATGCCGTTTGGCTCCATTGGCACTGCCTAGAGAAAGCCAATGAGCATTAAATGTTACATTCTTAAAGCACTTCTGCATTTATAAGCCAACAGATTATTAATTCTCGGTGAGGTGTCTTGGGCAATTGCCTGGGTGGCTTTCACTGTCGTCACCAGTCCTGTATTATGAGAATATGGCAAGAGTAATAAGAGGGGGAAAGTTTGGAAATTTTTAAAGCATGGAATGAAAAAAGAGCAAGAGTATCTCTCCATATAGAATAGCCCTGTAAAGTATTAGAAAGCCCAATTTGTTGGTTTAAAATTTTAATACATTAAGTGAGAGCAAAAGAGTAGATTCCATAAAAATGCAAATATTCACTATATTAATGGTTGTACAACACATGTACAGTGGTACCTCGGGTTACAGACTCTTCAGGTTACATACGCTTCAGGTTACAGACTCCTCTAACCTAGAAATATTACCTCGGGTTAAGAACTTTGCTTCAGGATGAGAACAGAAATTGTGCTCTGGCAGTGCGGCAGCAGCAGGAGGCCTCATTAGCTAAAGTGGTGCTTCAGGTTAAGAACAGTTTCAGGTTAAGTACGGACCTCCGGAACTAATTAAGTACTTAACCCGAGGTACCACTGTATATCAGTACGAAGTGAGATATCATTATTCCAGCGAACCCAATTATTTCTACTCTGCCTGAACCAACTCTAAGGAGGGTTTTCCTTGGTCTTGATACCTGAGGTTTCTTTAAGCAAGTGACAGCCAAACTTGGCCTTCCAGCTGTTTTTGAACTACAGCTCCCATAATTCCTAGCTAAAAGGACCAGTTGTCAGGGATGATGGGAATTGTAGTCCCAAAGCAGCTGGAGGTCTAAGTTTGGCCATCACTGCTTTAAGCTAAGATGACCACAATTAGATCTGTGCACCTTCTACATGAAAAGTATGTGCTCTGCCAGGAAGTTAGAGTCCCTTCTCTTCTGCGTGAAGGATAGAACGCAATCATATTTTTCTCTAGTTTCCCAAATCCTTGGGAAAGCAGCTTCTATTCCTTGACAGGCACTTAAATGTGTGCTCGGATAGTAGCATGGAAAATTAGGCTGAGAATATAATTGTTAAAATGATAATGAACTCGCTTTCTTCTTTATTTCTATGATTAATGTCACTGCTTTGGCACAGTTGCTGAAAGTTGATAGTTCTTTCTTGGAAGTTACATTTCATTCCGGTTTGATTTTTCCCCCCAAGGAGTAGCCATCAGAGGAAATAATTTTTATTTATTTTTTTTACATTCTCCCCCCCCCCGAAAGTTTAGAACTAGCAATGAGCAGTCTCCCCCGAAAGAAATTTTCTGCAACGTTAATTGCACCAGACCATAGCATTTAAAGCAACCTATTCTATCGTCCATTTACCTCCCATGTGAAATGAAAACTCTGTTTTGATTTGAACTGTCACAGATAATTTCTGCACATAAAACACATCCAGGGACAGCTTTCAAATGGAGTTGTCACTTCTTGTTTAGCGGGCGGGGGACTCTCTATTGTTGTCAAACCTTCTTTGCAAAAGCATCACTAACATGCTGATATGCGCAGCTATTCGGAAATAAAGGAATGGATACGATGCCGCCAAGAAATGCTAGAATCCGCTTTCTGTTGCATTCATCTCCTTAGGGAGAAGGTTTTAAATATCACTTTAAGCAGATTTGCTACTCCTTTGTTGTGTAAAGTGCAGATAGATTACTCAGTATTTACTCATCAGAATCACTGTTTACCTTTAGCAATATTATAATATAGTGGATAGCGAAATGTCTTCATTGTAAGTGTACTTAATTACAATAAAATACCAAATTATTTCTTCAAGGAGGAAACCCGCATATTTGGCCTGCAACATGGTCTTCAGTTTTACAGAATGGGGTGGGAGCAGTTGAGGGATGTCATACTTTTAATTAATACTGAGTTTTGGTACAAAAATGGTGCCACCATTAAGACGATCTCAAATGGACTTTAAGGAAAAAGGGGCTAAAATGGTTGCAGAGTTCTACTTTTGTGCATTGATCATATGTGCCTTGTCAGGGCTGGATTTAGGTTTGATGAGGCCCTAAGCTACTGAAGGTAATGGGGCCCTTTATATGTCCAGTTGTCCTTTGTCAACAACAAACTGTCACTGTTTTTTTGTGTTGGATATATGCTATATGGAAATTTATGGACCTAATAGGTATCTCAAGCCATTTGCACATGTTCCCGTGCAACCAGTCCATTCAGAATGTAGGCACCCTATATACAGAAATGAGCAAACCAGTGATATTTTAGGGAGCAGGCTAGCAGGCGGGGCCCATGACTTACATCATAGGAGCCTACACAACACAAAACACTGTTGCTGTATGTAGGTTTTATTTTAGATGGTTTTTTATCTTATATTTTGGAAATGTACATCCAGTTGTCTTTTTCCTTTACATTTTTTGGGGGCCCCCAAGAGAGTGGGGCCCTAAGCCATAGCTTATTTAGCTTATGCATAACTCCAGCACTGCTTGGGGTCTTCTCTGTGCTTGCTTCAGAAGAGACACGGTCAAACCTGTGGGAAACTTAAGTGATTTCAAGGGATTTTACCCAACTGCTGAAGTAGAATCGGGAGAATTCCATTGTCACTGGAAAATTTGCCA